AGCATCTACATTTGAAGTAGACTGCGTACTTGCTACAACTGAAATCCCAAGGATTCCTTTATCCCTGCCATCCAGATCAGGGAAATCCAACACCACCTATTTTTATAACAGTCCATCTTTGTATATTACCAAGTATATGCACATATGCTAAAGAAATGGAAATTCTCCTACAGATGTGGCAGAAGATGCCTAAGAGAAAGGAAGAATTCCAGAATTCCCAGACTTTGTAACTACTACTCATATGTAGCTGTACAAACAGGGAATAATGTCCATGGCAAATGGCAACATACAAAGTAAAACTGGTATGTCAGGATATAGAAATCTGTTTGTTTACTTAGAATATGGCTAATCTGTTTAAAATTTAGACTGACACACACACCATCTTTTCCACTGAATACATACCATTCTAAAACACAAGCGATTCCCAACAGCTGCTTTTGCACAATGCCTAGTGGCATTCATAACAATGACAAGTTTACAGTCCCTACATTGCTGAATCTGAATTAATCACATTAGCATAGCAGAAGATGTAATGATAACCCAAACAGGAAGAAAACTATTTTCTTATTGTCTCAAGTAACAACTGCAGGTTGATAATATTGGGCCAGGTGTTAAGCCACATAAGCATTCATCTTTATTACAATCCCCAACTGTTTTGGCCTACTGAAGCAGCGAATCAATCACAGCTCCTGATTTTGCAGAGCGTTTCCTGTTTGGAGAGAAGATGGTGCATGTTAGTCACATTAAGAATATTCAATGCATTAATGTATTCAAAAGAAACAGCCGAGAACAAAAAGCAACGTCCTCTCCCCACAGATGCATGTGATTTCATAAGGAAACCAAGTTGCCTTCTTTTAGGAGTGCTCATGGTCACGACAAAGCATTAAAAATGAACCTACACTCACAGAAGAGTCAACAATACTGATTTTACATACTGTACAAAAGGAAAGTCGTGATCCATGGCATGAATGGACTGTGGGAAAAAAGTGAGGCAGCAGAATGGGAGACATAAGTCACCATAATTGGAGACTGTAATAGGGAATAGATGAGTTGATTCAGGAGATGCAGGAGGGAGCCTTGACCTAACTCCAGTCAAGACATCCTTCACATACTCCTGACTGATACTTCATGGGATCCTCTAGAAGCTTTACCTTTTCTATTGACTTGTGCAAGGAGTAATACATTTGATTGTGAGGCAAATGTTCTGCTACACTTATAGCAGTGTAGATTAATAAATGCAAAATATTCTATTAAACTGAAAAGTGATCCAGGGTTATCATATAATCTGCTGGCTCTACTATGCACACAAAACAGGACTATCCCAATATATGTAACAAGGACATATATGGAGCTCTTACTATCACCAAATGGAGGGGGGAAAGTTCCTCTTGTTTGCATACAGCCTTGGACATCTCACTCCTCTTAAATCTGAAGCTGGGCACAAAGCAGTATTTCAGAGTGGTTCTAACCTCCTGCCAGTTTTGGGCCTTGATCTTCCTTTTGATGTTCGTGGTCTTTCTAGTTTCATCAAAGACTGTCTCAAGCTCTCTTCAGTGTAAGCCAGATATACATGGGAAAGGTCCACCTCAAAGGGCTGAGGGGAGGAAAAAGGGAACATGATGAGTAAACATTCATGGGTCATGCCAAAGTACCCTCTCAAAATCAAGAAGTTCATATATCAAAGATAGCTGCAAAGCTGAAAACTGTGGACTTCAACAACATACAGTCACAATGGCGCACTTACATCTTTTTCTTTTTTGTCTGCCACTGGAGTCTGTTTTCTCATGTTATTTCCGGTATATGCCACACATTTCTTAAAGACAAAAAAAAGGATTAGATATTGCAGAAGTAATTACATTTTTCTGTTGGCTTTTGCCACTGTGAGGAGTGGTCTCACCAATTTAAGGTGAGACCATTTTTGTCCTTGCTTTACCCAATATAGGTTAGTAAATTAAAGGTGAAATGTAGTTCCAAACACATTTCCAAATAAATATGGACAGGATAGTTGTATAACAAAAATGTTTTCCTTTCAAAGAAAATACAGACAATATTTTACATACATAAATAATGAAACTCTATTAACATCGCCACTGGTAGTTGTACCAGCAACAGACTAGGGGGAGGCTTGGTAAATTAATACAAGGACTTCGCATAAGAGTGAGATTCTGCAGATTGCACTATTTTTGTATCAAAAGAGAGCTCACATACCAGCTGCCATTCTCCAATATCTTCATTCCAGTGAACATAGTTCTCAATCATTTCCTGGAAAGGAATCACCAAAAACAAACAGACAGACAGACAAACAAGTCGTATTGCCATTAAACAAAGCAGATTCAGAAGCATGTAAGTATTGTTTCAGCAAGTTATTCCCAACAAGTTCCTCTAATGGATCTGAACTTTGACCAATATTCCCCCATTCCTGATAAATTAGGCCCAACTTTTCAGTGCTGAAATATCATGCATCTGTCTTCCCCAGTCTGGACCCCCATCAAATGTGTAGACTTCAGCTCTCAGAATTCTCCAGCCAGCATGGTCAGGTTGGAGGAGCTGCCTTATGTAATAAAAAGAAAGGAAGTAAGAACAATAAAGGGTTCAGTTAACCCTGCATTTTGAATGCTACTGTGGAAGCTTACAAATGTGCCAACTGTAGGCCTCAATTACTTCTGGCCTCTGAGAGCCAGTTTGGCACAATGGTTAAAAGCACCAGCTACAAACTGGGAGACTATTAGTCCCACCTTAGGCATGAAGCCATCGGGGTGATTTTAGGCCAGTCCCTCCCTCAGCCTAGGAAGAAGACAAAGGCAAACACCTCCTGAAAATGTTGCCAAGAAAACTGCAGGGACATGTCCAGGCAACACCAGGAGTCAAGAGTGATTTGAAGGCCTGCACACACATACTTTTGGCCTCCAGCTACTGATAGTCAGTGCAGTCTAAATCTGGATGCTCAGTATTGCCATTGTAACTACCAGCTTATGACTCAAATGCAATTAAAGTAGCATTTGATTTTGGAGAAAATATGTGGGAAGTACCTTCACTGTCTGCTTCTCCATAAAATATCTGGGCTGGAAATATGACAAGGGCAGCAAAGGAGATGTTCAAGCAAACAGCTTCCTAATAACGAGAATTTGCTCTAACTCATCAGCGGTGAGAAGCAGGTTCTAACTTACTAGCTATGAGAGGTGATTCATGTTAGAGCTACTACTTAATCTCTCAAAACCATCAGGAATTTTTCACCTGGTAATCCTGAGGTATAAAGTTGTCAATTATCAGCATTTGAAGACGAAGCTCTCTGCTGAGCTGTCGAATGTTCTCCAGTAAGCCTTCAATTTCTCTCTGATGCTCCTGTTGCAGATCTGCCATCTAAAAATACAAACCAAACCATCCAGAACTATAATTAGAATCATAGTTTAAAAAATATTTTAAAAATCATATTTTTAAAAAATCATATTTTTGCATCATATTTTTTAAAATAGTCAACATTATCCTTTTTTTTTTGCTGTTCTTTCTCTCCTTTGTGCCACCAGTAATAAGTTTTACACCAGTCTACCCCAACCTAGTGCCTTCCAGATGTGTTGGATGTATTACTTATCTTGCCATTCCATAGGAGCAAGGATCTACTATCTGGGAATTATAATACTTACATCTCAGGGACGTAACCTACTTAAAGATAATCCATCAGGAAATATCCTCTCTTGTTCTTTGAACAATGGTCAAGAAAACCAAACAAACCATTTGGTTGGGAAAACACTTAAACAACAATAAATTACCTTTATAGTGAAAATTAAATTTAAAAAATCTTAACCACTTTTCAGTTAAAACAATATTTAGTGTGACTCAAAAAATTGAAATAATAGGTGCATAAACTACTAGAAGCAAAGAATCAAAAAATTTTACTTGATGTGTTGGTTTCTCTTGTATCTCTAAAGAACAGCAATCCAAAAAGGAGAAGCTCCCCTTTCTAGCTGCCACCATCCTAGCAGAAGAACTTAGAGCAGAACCTCTGAAGTATTCATCTGGGAGAATGTGGTTCTTTAATCATCCTTGCTTAAGTTAGTTTTAAAGACTTTAAAGTTAGCGTTCTGAATTTAACCAGAAAACATTCAGGAGGTCAGTGTGAAAAGTGATAAACTGGAGCTACTTAAATCAAAATGTGTAGTTAAAAAAAAACTGGTATCTTGAATGAACAGGCCCACATTGCAAGCTTTACAGTACTTAATTTTGTCTAACCCAGTGGTGGCAACCATTTGATGACTGAAAGTCACCATTCAAAGTGGACAGGGCTAGATTTTTCTTTCTTTTGCTTGGGCTTTTTGGAGGAATTGGTTGCTTTCTTTAAAACAGCTATATTAAGGGCTTAGTAAAGGTTAATATGAGCTTATATAACATAACAAGATTATTACAAGGATTATCTGGACCACTTCCAGTCAGGTTTCAGGCCCAGATTTGGGATGGAAATGGCGTTGGTCACACTCATGGATGATCTCTGGTGGGAGAGGGATGGAGGTAGCGCATCCATCCTTGCTCTTCTTGACTTCTCAGCGGCTTTAGATACCATCGACCATGGCATCCTTTTGGGTCAACTTGGAGAGCTGAGAGTGGGCAGCAGTTTTGTGCTTGTTCTCTTCCTTCCTCCAAGGTTGATCCCAATTGGTGTTGATTGGGAGCAAGAGGTCCAGCCTGCGGCCCCTCCATTGTGGGGTGCCACAGGATTTGGTACATTCTCCGCTCCTTTTTAACATCTACATGAAACCACTGGATGAGATCATCCACCACCATGGGATGAGGTATCACCAATATGCAGATGATACCCAGCTATACATTTCCGTCCCAGGTGACTCGAGTGATGCCATGACCACTCTTCCGCAGTGCCTGGAGGCTGTGGGGGTCTGGATGGGGTAGAACAGGCTTCAGCTGAACCCTGGTAAGATGGAATGGCTGTGGATTGGAGGTATCTGGGAATTTACCACCTTTGGTTTTGAACAGGGTTGCACTGCCCCAAACAGACCTAGTGCGTAATCTGAGAGTCCTTCTGGACTCATAATTCCTGCTGTTCGTGTGGTGTGCCAGTTATGCCCCTTCCTGGATCAGGAGGCTCTCTGGTCAGTCACTCATGCCCTGATCATCTCTTGGTTAGACTACTGCAATGCACTCTACATAGGGCTACCCTTGAAGAATATCCAGAAGCTACATCTGGTTCAAAATGCAGCCATGCAAACAATCTTGGGTGCCCCTAGGATGGCACATATAACACCTTTGCTGCAGGACCTGCATTGGGTGCCCGTTTGCTTCCGGGCCCAATTCAAGGTGTTGGTTATCACCTTTAAAGCCCTACGTGGCATGGGTCCAGGTTACCTGAGGGACCCTCACCCTTATTACATCAACCCA